GCCTTTGTGTATTTTAAAAAAAATCATAATATCAATGTAAAATTTATATTCATATTTTTTAATTTTCACATCTATTCGTCTACAATAATTAATGAACCACGGCAGGGGCCGACATAGAACTATTCTAACTGGGGGCAAACTATAGGAGCAGGGGCACACTTTGTACAAATTCACATAGTTTCGACAATTTTTTCTAAATTCAACCCGCAACTAAAGTGAATGTCACGGAATTCGTGAATCCTACATATATTGCTGAAATTTAAAAGTTGAGAATATTATGAAACAACCACAACTGTATGATTACCCAGTTGTAACCGTTTTGTAAGAAATGGAATTGCGTATTTCCATCATATTTATAGAGAGCGTCGGTCACAATAGCAAAGCATTATGGAAATGATTTTGAAAATGAATGGACCAGGTCTAACTGTTTAACATGCTTTAACAATTACACTACTAAGTGTTCATGCAAACATTCGGAATTATATTTAATCAGTTGTACATCTATATGAACACTCTTCCAATAAACTGTTATGAATTTCCGCAGCAACGCGCGGGAAATTATCTAGTTATTAAGTGTGTCAAAAACCATTATAGAACATCATGAATATAGAAGTAACCGAATTAATAGAAGTTTATCATCACATTAAAACCAAAGTACATACATAGTTTTCATTGAACAACATATAGCTCTCCAGAGCATCTAATTAAACCATACATTGAAACTTTCTAAAACATCTCAATGCAACAACAAATGCGATCATAATCGCAACTATGGTAACAATTGATCCAATGATATAATGATACCAAGCCTCGATATGAATGACATATTTTTTAATCTTTTTAATCTTCAAGCGTATTGCATCCATCTTGATCTTGTGATCATCGACGACATCCGCAACATGCAACTCCAATGTCATCATCTCCTCCTCAATTTTCCTCAATTTTTCCTTCAAGTAATTGTTTTCTTCTTCAACTAAATTTAACCTCTTGACAATAGGGTCGGTTGGAATTTCCGGTTCACATACCTTTTAGATAAGAAAATCTATGTCACGTTGGTCGGCATAATTGTCATAAACACTAAATGAAACAAATAGTTATAAAAGATAATATATATACCACATCCGAATCATAGTCAGGACGAGGGCCGACGAAGACGGATACCAAGACCATCGCACTATATAATAACAAACAATAATAAAAGCAAGAAAATTACACAGGTATCTATCTAAATCATACAAGTAAGAACTTTTTTCTTCCAGAAAGAAGATAAGAAGAAGAGGCTAACCACGATGGTGACGATGACGAGATCGGTGCGGGCGATCGACGGTGGTGAGGACGGAGATGGGACAGGACGGACCGCCAAACCTAGACAAATCTTGAGGAAAATTGAGCTTGGACAAGGAACTTCGAGAGGAGAAAGCTTAAGTGTGGCTCGGGCATTTCATCGAACACCTCATGTGCATATGAGGTGAGCTAGAGCACAATAAAGCTCTCCCACTGCCTGCCAAAAAACAAAGCACTCCACTGCTCTGCTCACGAGCAAGGGGTATATATAGGCATATCTTTGGTCCCGGTTTGTGGCTAGAACCGGACTAAAGGACCCATTTGGCCCACAACCATTGGTCTCGGTTGGTGGCTGGAACCGGGACCAAAGGGCCCAGACGAACCGGGACCAATGGCCCCCGAGGTCCGGCCGCCCCCCTGGCCTCACGAACCGGGACTGATGCCCCTATTGGTCCCGGTTCATGAGTGAACCGGGTATAATGCCCTTACCCGGCCTGGACCAAAGCCCTATTTTCTACTAGTGATATAACCAAACGTGTAGTCCTCAAGTTACAGTCATTCCCTTTGATACCCCGATTGTTGTCAATTCAAGGTCTCCGATTCAGAACAATAACAAGTGCATACAACTTGTAAATGTGATTCAAACACATACATATTCATGAAAACACATAAAATTCAGATATGAAATCACAACCATAGTGTCAAGAATTAAGCATGGCAAAGTCATAACAACATCAATCTCAAAACTTATATGATACTAGGCATCAAACACTAAGAATTCTGGCAATTACTACATAGGGGATATTATTCAATTCCCATCCACTCCATGTGCATCGTCGTGTTGCCACTGCAACATTCCCCATGTTTCAGAAACATTGATGATGTTACAAAATCCTAAGACTTGTAGGTACGTGGGATTGACCCGACACGTGGTTGGCTCTCGACGCAGTGGACGCGAGCGTAAAATTGGTCGGATGTTTCTAATCATTTCCCTTATTTATTTTGAAATTTGCAAAAGTATTTTTTGAGAATTTTCTCTAGGAATTTTTTCGCACAAAAAACTACACCATGGAATTTAGCTAAAAAACAACATCTGACATGTTAGATTTATTCAAATTATGCAAGTTAGAGGAAAAAATATGGTAAAAGTGTTCAAAAAAGTATATATGTTTGAGTCGTACCCCCCTCCACCCCCACACCACCATCACCAATCAAAAAGTGTAAAGAGACAATATTTCAAGTTTTCTAAAAATGTTTGAGTCACTATGAAACCCACATTAGGAAAAGGTATGCACTTTCAATGTGAGGTTGGAATTGGCTTCACATACACATACCGTTTGCACCCACAATATCTCTCCAAAGCCTTGTTTCTGGAACCTTCGGGGCAACCCAAAGCCTCTGAAGCCCAAACCCTCCTGGTTGCCTCCGGCTAGCTGTCGGACTTACCAGAAAAGTTGTACAACACCTCTGGCCAACCTCTTGGCTTGCCGGAAAGTATGCAAATTGGGTTGCACACCTTCTGTTAGCCCCAAAGCCTGTCTGAAACCTTGGGACACACAAAAATAGAGCATAACGATTGGATTTTGTGGGCCACTATACAAGCACACCTTGTTCCCCATGAGGAAGGAGACTACTCCGTTTTTCTCTCCATTTCTACAAAGTTCAAACCCTGAACATTTCCCTCCATTTCCAACCAATCTTGCCCAGACTTTAGGGAGAGACAAAGGAGATCCTGATATACACTTTCACGGGAGAAAAGCTTAATCCCCTTTAATCCAACGTGGATCTCATTACTCTTGGAGTTATTATGGACTGTTAGATGGTTAGAGTCCTTTCAAAAGCTTCCTTGTTGCTGTGTGCTTAGAAGTTTATGAAGGTTCGGTGGTGACCTTAATACCAACTACTTGTGGACTAAGGCCCTTCCTTCAGTGGTATGCTCAAGTAGAATAGGGCAAGCCTTCGATGGCGTTCAAGTTGCTTTGGCACTCACATCTCTCCAACGAAGGTTATCACTCCTACAAGAGTGTAAACTTGGGGATACATCCCCGTCTCCAACTAGTGGTTAATCTGTCTCCTGCTCCTTTACTTTGTCGTTGTTGCTTGCTAGCTACCTTTTTTGTTCTTACTTCTAGGTCATTGTTTAGATTGTATTTTTTTTAGTTTTAGTGTTTCTACTCTTTGCAATATACATGATAGTCGATGGGACGTCCAATACAACACGCCATCTGAACTATATCCACATTTTCATATTGCACACCTTAAATTGTTGCGCGCTCTTCGATTGCATGCAGGTATTGATCTTTGTGATTAGATTGACTAGGTTTCCAACACTGTCAATAACCATATTGGAGTTGGTTTAGCGATTTCTAAGGCGCATCATCGCTGTATGGAGTAGTTGGGTCGCCAAAGTTTCCTCCAAAAGAATTGATACTATCTCATCGAAAGATAGGTATACACTTCTATCCATACACTCCCTTGCATCTCACTAGCAGCATCAGGAAAAATAGTGTAAGGCCGAAAAATGTCAAAATCCAATAAGCTTTCTGCACACATTCAAGATAAGAACCGTCCTCTTCTTCTTCCACTTACTGAGCTCCTTGTCACTCGAGATGCGAGGAGTGTCCTACCAAAGAGCAGCAACGTTGATGACCAACTCGACACAATGCATGAACCTTGACGCCACACTCGCAATTGAGGTGGAGAAGATCAGAATGACTCGATATGCAAGTCACAAGAGGAAGGGAGCATGGGTGGAAGGGTGTGTGACTGTCAATGCCGGTCTGAATCAGGCGACGATGTTCTTTTGCAGATAGAAGTGATCATTCAATTCATAGATAGGGTCAATGGGGCGGCGACACCGCCCCTCCTCCTGCTCCATTGTTTTCTCTCGTCATTGTTCCCGTCCTCGACCATAGCTCGATGGTGCATGAGGAGATTGGCTAGCGGGGGCGACCTTGCGATGTTGGCGAGCAAGTCTGAGGTCAAGAGTTTGGCTTTGCAACGACTAGAAACCCTATAGTAGGGGCACTTGGGACTCCGTCGGAAGATATAACAGAGGGAGATTTTGGGTCTTCAGTTTGACTAATAACATGTGTGTAATATATGCTAATAAGTATATGTTTATAAACTTAATTCAATCAAGGATCCAATTTTTTTAGTGGCATGTAACCTATGTTTCACTAGTCAAATCGATGACTAAAAATCTGTGCCGGCATTACAAACCTTGATAGAGGTTTTCGGGTTGGTATACATTGCTAGTTTTTTTGGGGAGGAGGAGGGGCGGTGTCCGTGCAACGGCAAAGCGATTGCGGTTGTTTTTCCCACCAATCAAGATTTTTCAATCGTGGTATCCAATTATAAAGGATCAAAACCCATGTTTGACGTTTGATTTTCATTAATGCAGATTATTTTTTAAGTGGGAGCGACATTTTCATTTATAACGGGACGACCATGATGATTTTGTCGATCTTGAAGTTTTGCCACGTGAATGTTTTTTTTTCTTTTCTTGGAGGGGGAAATGATTTTTTCTTAAATCGTAAAAAAAAAACCCCAACCATTCTGAGCAGTGGACCATGTCTGAGATCCAACTACGGCCAGAACGCTTTGAGCGGGGAGCGGGCCGAGGACGCGACATATCCACCACCACCACCACCATTTAGGGTTAGAGGATTTGCGCTCTCCAGACACATCGCCCCAAAGTAGGTCGAATCGAAGCGATGGCGTCTCGTCTGCTTGCGGCGGCCTCCTCCTCCTCCTCCTCCTCGTCTTCCTCCCCCCTCGCTCGCCTCATCTCCAGCCGCCGTATGGCCGGCGCCGCAGGTATGCTTGGATCTGAGAATGTGCGCCTTCTCCTCCCCTTCCCAGATCCGAGAATCCCACACACGGATCGTTCGGATCCGCCGGTCGTGCGTCGGGCGTCGCCGGTTGTTGACTCCGATTCGGTTATGCAATTGGATGTAGGCAGCCTAGGGGGAGCGTGCTGTCCGCCAGAAATCAGGGCCCCTTTCCCTCTGTAGTTGTTGTGCGGCGCGTCCTTGTGCTTGATGTCTCCTACTTTTTTTGATCGATCGATTCGTCTTGTGTGCTTGAACAGATCACCACGGATCGACAAAGGTGAACATGTGGCAGGAGCCCTTGAACCCCGGCAACTGGAAGGAAGAGCACGTGAGTTTCTCACCACCCACACCGCAGTAAAGAGCATCGATTTCTATTTGTTCCTTTTAGGAGAGCTTTCTACTTGATGCCTGTGGCATACAACAAGTGTAGGGAGGCTTTCTATTACTAGTATTGTATTAGTTATTTTCTTGAGATAGATCAAGTAGCAAGACTGTTAATGTTAAATTAGGGTTGCTTGTATTTTTGCTTTCATTCAGAGATCATTCCGCATCTTCTTTTGATCTCATTTGATGTGTGCTGTACAATTACGACTACTTACTACTTACTAAGCCTTTTGTCCCAAACAAGTTGTGGTAGGCTAGATATGAAACCCTTTCACGAGGACTTCCCAGGAGGTCACCCATCCTAGTATTACTTTTGCCCAAATGGGTTTCATACCCAAAGGACTGGCTAGTTTTTACACAACCCTTAGATATGAAACCCTTTCACGAGGACTTCCCAGGAGGTCACCCATCCTAGTACTACTCTCGCTCAAATGGGTTTCATACCCATGGGGCTGGCTAGTTTTTACGTTGGCTCGCCAAGCCTATCACAACCCTCCTCCTTTATCCGGGCTTGGGACCGGCTATGCCTCGAAGACGTAGGCGGAGTTGACGTGTGTTGTACAATAAGACCGTAAAATCGAACTCCATTGTCACAACCGTGCAGTGCGGCCAATGTTTTTTTTCTTACCTAGTTCAGGAGTAAAGGGGAAGGTTTGTTTCATCTATGGTCTTAACGTACCATAGATATAATAGTCAGATTAATCTTTTTGTACTGTAAGGTGGATACTTCATGCAGGTTTTAGGTTAGGTTGGCAAAATGCAGGTTAATTAAAATCGTGTCTCTTTTCTGTGGTCGCTCAACAATATGTTTTCGCTTTCAGCTTTCATGGCTCATCCACCGGGATCAAGTCTTACAAGTTGTTAGTGATTCGTTACAGGAAAACACCATGCAAAGTGCTATTTAAAAAATGCAAGAATGACTCATTCATATGGACTATGTAATAACATTTTGAAGATTCACGTGTCCACTTGATATATCTTTCTTAGCTACAATGTTGTTCATCTGGTACCGTAGAGTACCTTACTGGCGTCCTTGAGCTTGTGGGTCAACTAATCACAAAGTTAATTTCAAAAGGTCTTTATACTACTATATCATGCTATAACTGTGCAGCAAGTCCAAATGTAATTATTTTAATTTAATCTCCCTCTTGTTAGTAATTATAGAACTAATACAGGTTAGGCCTCCTAGTTACTCTTTGACCAGAAGCTACCCATCCTTTGTTATCATTCATCTTTGTTGAAAAGATCATATTGTAAATTTGACTTTGTCTGGCCACTTTAATAGATTGCTCATTTTCCTGTTCCCTTTTCTCATCAATGTACCTTTTGAGGAGGAATATTTCTGCAGCCCCTATCATGTGCGATGCAGTCAAATCGGTGTTCTTACTTACACTGTCTGCTTTGCATTATGTTCGTGTGGCATGCTATCTGCCTTCTAAGCGTCTGACTGTCTGTCCATATGGATATAAATAAATGACTTTCACTTAAACTATTCTGATGGTTTTTTAACGTATACTTCTTCATAGCTTATTTTGGGTTGTATTCTTGTTTTTTGTTATTTATTATTTCTCGTACCTTCTGCAGTTTGTGCTAACCAGCTTAGCGATGTGGGGCGCTATTATATATGGTGGATTGAAGGCGTTTGGCGGGAAAAAAGAAGTGAAAACCGAGGTATTGACTTGTCTGTACGAAACATTGACAGTGTTATTGTACATAGTTCATTGTGCAAGAATTTTTCAAGGATTATTTTGGTAGTTACCAATACATGACCATGCGGCATTTTACATTGTCAAGTGCTAAATAATAAATTCATATGTATCATAATTCGTTAACGCAGTTAGCAGATGTTGTTGAGCTAACTGCGGTGATGTTGTCATTTGATGTTATTTTATTTTGTCACTTACCTTCTGATGGCATTCTTTACTCTAGGGATTTCCTGCAAGAGTCTAATTAGTTAAATAGGTAGCAATCATTGTTTATAAGGCGTCTCGCCTTGGACGCTTAGGCGACGTTTAGGTGTCAAGGCGGTTGGTGCTCACCTTACCACCTTAGAAACAAGCAATCCTTTACCGTTGATGCATCTGTTAGCAAAGAATTTTTCTTTACTAGCAAAATACTTGGATACTGTATGTCCCTTCTCCCTTGGGATGGATGGTTCCGAGTCATACAGTCAAGTCAAGTCCTCATGCCTCCATCTCAGCGATTAGTCGCCAAGTCGCCATGTTTTCCAGTACCAGCTTGGTGATTAGTCGGCAACTCAAGAACAAAGGTTGCAATGATATTACACAATCATGCACCCATTAGAGATGGATGGTCAAGCTGCATTGATTCTAAGCAATTGTGCACCTATATAACTTTGTTCGGCATGTGCCTATTTGACTTTTTCAGGCTATAGGAACTGTACCATTAATCATATGAGATTCAAATGATACTTCTTGGAGACATGAAGTGTTGCTGATTTCTCAAATAAAAATGCATAATTTCTATACATTTATGTATCATCAAATTCTTATTCATTGGTTTACGAATTAAGTTTGGCCCTTGCAAATTCTGCATTAGTTGAGTTAATAATTGCACTTTCTCTCCCCTAATGCACAATCAGATCATTTCAGTAACTCCTCATATTTGCCTTTAGTCATTCTATTGCATTAACATGATGTTGTTAGATACACGCGTGAAACAATATGTTTCATTTTTTTACGTGGGTTTGGGTCATGTTATTTGGCATGTTGATTTCTATTTTTTCATCGGTTATTGTACTCTCTCCTATCCATATTAATTGTCACCGATTTAGTACAAAGTTGTGCTAATTCAACAACAATTAGTATGGATCGGAGGGAGTACTTTATATATGTATATGATTTTTACTGTTGGAATTTGATTGAGTATATTTTGTGCGATGTTACAAAATAAATGCATTGCACATACCCGATTGGTACAGTTTGGTACTCTTTGGATACAATTGCACTATGTCTGCCCTTGTTTCTTGTTGGTTTGTATCTTTTATTTTCAGTTAATTATATCTAAACTTGCTAGGTATTCTTAATAAAAAAAATGAGATTTATTTTTATAAAGATGGTATGGTACAAGTGATTGTTTTGGGTAGGTTTTGTTACTGCACAAACACAAATTCTAACATGCAGTAGACATTTTGAAGCCGTCACATGCCCCAAGTCCCCAAACCTGCAGCAGGTACCGATAGAAAAGCACCTGGCAAGGCGAACCCAGTACTATTAACAACTTGATTTTCTAATGCTGCATACCTTTGTGTGTCTGTTGCTGCCTGCTTGTTGGAACTCCGCCCTCAGGATCGATCATATCAAATCACGATGAACACGCACGCTCAAAAACTTATAGCCAAAGGCACCTGTTGTGCCTTTCTTTTGCCTCTTTATTTCTGATTTTCTCACCTCATTATTGCTTTTTGTTTTTCTCTTGATGTTACACATCAAAGCTGCAGCCGTGGTCACACACACACACACATATATATATATACACATGACCTGAACCGACCTATAGCTAACCCCTAGACCTACTACAAATCCTAGTCGGATACAACTTCCTAACCTAGAATTAACACAAAACAACTAGGACTAGGTACTACTCTAGGACACAGACTACTAACCCCTCCGTCCCATAATATAAGAGCATTTTTAACACTAGTGTAGTGTTAAAAACACTCTTATATTATGGGAAGGAGGGAGTACTAGCTACACGCGTACACACCCAAGACAACTCCTAGCCAGACCAATCGACTTAGCTGGAAACTAATTGCTTAACCTGCTAGACAGGATTACTACTAACACTGCTGGCCTAGGTCCTGACCACATCCATAACACTGCATGTCTACTTTGATGGTTGGCATTTTCTTTTGGCGTTTTGCTACAGACCTACAGTTATTGGTTCTGTCTAGCATGTCTTTAGCCTTTTGCTGTAGTTAGTTATAGTTTCTATCTTCACATCCACATGTAAGCTGTTTAGGCCTAGGCCTTGTTATAGAATCAAAGATATAGATGGAACTTTAATGAGGCCCCTGACATTTTACTAGCTAAATCAAATAAGTGGGGAAAACACAAAATGTGGAGATATCAGATATGAAGGTGAGGTCAAACAGTAGCCAAGCTATGCTAGTACTCCCTCCGTAAACTAATATAAGAGCATTTAGATTACTATTTTAGTGATCTAAACGCTCTTATATTAGTTTACAGAGGGAGTAGCTCACTACCATAGTCAGATGGCATTTTAATAGCCTGTGTGCACTCTTTGCATCGTTTATGCCTTTGGAGAGGCGATGTAAATTTTGAATTAGATGCCATACCATTCTTGTGTCGCATGTAAATTTGCCAGTGCTCAATCCAATTTGTACCTTAATCTGGTATGCTATTGTTACAGGCGGGGTCAGCGCCAGCAGCAGCACCGGCACATTAAACTTCATCCGAGCTTTATTTTCTTACCACAATCTGTTTTAAGTATGTTGTTGACGATAAATTGAGACCAAGTTGGCTGGCAAGGTTAAGGAGCTGCGCTGCCCAGCCACCATGAATAATCTGAACGTGGTGTAACTTTTCATCCAACAATTTTTCTACTACAGGAAGTTGGAAATATGCTATTTTCTGTGTGAGCACTCAGTTTCCTATAATTCACACACAGACTAATGTTCAGGAAATCATCAACTGGTAACTGCTTGGTCGATGGTAACTAGGTGATTAATAATTGTCAAATTGGCAAGTTAATTGTCTGATAAATCAGTAATCGTTGGCCCATTGAGAAGGAATTTAGTATCGGTATACATTTTGATCAATGATAAACCTTGAAAATGAAATATTCCTTTTCTTTTTAAAATGGCAGGAGAAGCATAATTCTTTTTTGAGTATTCACATTTGATTTTACAATGTCAATTAGAAAGGGAGGGATTACATCAGAAGTAGCATAAACCTCGAGGCTAAGCGCCTCCCTCGCTCAGAGATGAGCCGCCGCTGTATTTGATTCCCTCTTGAGAGATACAGAAGCTTTAATCCCTGTAAATGGTGGGAGATAGGACTTCATTTCCATGAAGACTTGGGTCGGTCATCCCCACTATGCCAAATTGTACAAACAACTTGACGGTCTGTCTCAATCACCACTTGGGTGAACCCCTTTGACATTGCAAGTAGCATAGCGTCCATGCAAGCCAAGGTTTCAATTACCAGAGGCTCTCCAATATCATCATATTAAGACATCAGCCAAGGTTTCAATTACCAGAGGCTCTCCAATAGCAGCATACTTGGACATCCTTCCCATAACAATACTGACTTCATAATCGTGCTGTTGCACCAGTGGCAGCCCCTCCATGGCTTGCAGAAGTAGCACTATCAGCATTAATCTTTATCCATCGCTCTTCTGCCGGCTTCCAGATAACTTTTAGAACTGTTTCTACCCGCACAGCACGTGCCGGGACATCCGAAGATGAGATCAATTCATCTATGATTTGCATGGATTTATTAGATTGATATACTTGATCTCCTCGTGCGCATATTTGTTCCTGTTCGACCATATAGCCCACACTGTAATCGCTGCTTTTGTCCTTCGACAAGAAGGTCGGGTCCGGGATATCTCTAGACCACGTCAAAGGGTGAAGTTGCGGTAGCTTGAGCTCGAGATAATCCTGCGTCGACTCTCGAAACAACACACATGCATCGTGGCACTTCACCAGAGCATGAAATAATGAATCTTCGTCATGTCAGAAATTTTAGCATATTTTCGACTAATCTAATTCACGAGTAAATGATAAGCATGGCAAATACGGTATGCATCTCATACTGATACCTAAGCATGCAAGGTATGCATTTCATACTGATACCTAAGCATGTGACACTACAAAAAATATGTCAACTTGTGACCACCACTATTGGTCACTGAAAGGTCACAAATTTCCATTTACGACCTTTTTGTGACCAAAAACAGAAGGTCAAAAGCTGGCCGTCGTAAACTGACTATAGCGACCTTTCTTCTGGAATGGTCAAAGACGTTTACGACCAAAATATTCCTACTGTGGCGTTTTGGTCACTAGCAACCTCCTCAAGCCACGTAGACATCTAGCGTGGCAAGCTGATGTGGCACAAGATTCAGCCCGGTCCAATTCGGTTTTCTACATGGGCCGAGCCCATTAATTCAGCCTTTCTATATTTTTTTTTCGTGTCAATTTTTGGTCGATTTCATGGGCCTAGCCCAACATTGTAGCCTTTTTTATTGTTGGCCCATGGCCTTTTATTATTTATTGCTTTTCTATTTTCAGCCATTATATATTCAAGCTGGTCCCACTAGTCAAATGGGTCCCACTTGTCATGATCATCTCTCAAATTGGTCCCACATGTCAGAAATGTATAAATTTGACAGATTATTTTCATAAGTGGACCCATTGGTCAAGTTTCCATTTCACAAGTTTTCAGATCACATACATAATCAAAAAGAACACATAAATTTCATCAAATATACCACTAAATAAATCTATTACAATCTTTACAACACATATATGCTACAATATGCTACTCTTTACTAAGTAGAACTTGACGGCTTCACACTTGCTTCACACTTCACACTTGAGCATCTGTAAAAGAGGAACAACCACAAATTTAAATCTCAATTGCAGTATAGGCCATATGCAGAAGCAGTTCAAAGTCGAAACAACATCAATTAAAAACACGCGCACAGAAACATATGAGTCAAAATGCAGTATAGGACCAGGACAAGGAAACTCCTGTTATCAAATCAACACA